ATTACAATATCACACAGATTATTTTCACTGCCCTAAAAATGCCGTGATCTGCCCATTTATCTCTTTCCCCAAACCCCTGGCAATCACTGCTCTTTTTTATTGTCTTCATACTTTTGCCTTTTCCAGGATTCCATGTAGTTGGAATAATATAATATTTCTCAGATTGGATTCTTTCATTTAGTGATGTGCATTGATGTTTCTTCCATGTCTTTTTGTAGCTTGATAGCTCATTTATTTTTAACACTGAATAATAGTCCTGGCTAGATGTACCACAGCTAATTTATTCATTCACTTACTTAAGGACATCTTTTTATTTTCAAGATTTGGCAATTGTGGATAGGCTGCTACAAACATGTATGCAGGTTATTGCGAAGATAGTGTTTTCAACTCCTTTGGGTAAATACCAAGGAGTGTGATTGCTGGATCAATTAGTAAGAGTATGTTTAGTTTTTAAATAAACAAGAAAACGACTGTACCATTTGCATTCCCAACTGCAGTGAAAGAGAGTTCCTGTGTTCCACGTTCTCACCAGCATTTGGTGGTGTTAGTGTTCTGGCTTTTGGATATTCTTATTGGTGTGTAGTAGTTTCCTGTTGTTTTAACTTGTATTTCCCTGATGACATATGACAAGGAGCATCTTTTCATAAATCTATTTGCCATCTGTATATCTTCTTTGGTGAAGTATCTGTTACAGTCTGTGGCCCATTTTAAAATTGTTTTTTTTGTTTCCTTATGGTTAAGTTGTAAGAGTCCTATGTGTATTTTGGATAACAGTCCTCTATCAGATGTATCTTTTACAAGTATTTTCTCCCATCTGTGGCTTATCTTCTATTAATAGTACTCTTGGTGTTGTCTTTAGCATTGTTTTTAATTTTAGTGAAGTCCAGCTTATAGGTGATTCCTTTTTTGTGTCTTAGTGTTGTCTAAACAGGAATCACCACATCCAAGGTCATCTAGGTTTTTTCCTATGTTGTCTTCTAGCAGTTTTGTAGTTTTTCATTTTACATTTAGGTCAATGATCCATTTTGATTTAATGTTGGTGAAGAATACAAGGTCTCTGTCTAAAGTCATTCTTTTTTGGGGGAAGGAAAGGGGTATGTGAATATCCAGTTGTTCCAGCACCATTTATTGAAGAAATTGCCTTTGCTTTTTGTATTGCTTTTGCTCCTGGTCCAAGATCTGTATTTATGAGGGTCTATTTCTGAGCTCTCTGTTCTGTTTCATTCATCCATTTGTAGATTTTTTTTCACTGGTATTACACTGTCTTGAATACAGTAGCTTTATAGGAAGTCTTGAAGTCACATTTATCTCTTTTAAATTATACATAATCTGAATTTAAATTATAAAATTTCCTGGGCTCAGAATCATAACATCTTGGTTCTCTCTGCACCTAGCCTGACACCAGACCTCTCAGAGCCTTGGTATATTCATCTATATCAGTGGTTGGCAAACTGCAGCTTGCGAGCCACATGCAGTTCTTTGGCCCCTTGAGTGTGGCTCTTCCACAAAATACCACATGCGGGCGAGCACGTATAGTGCAATTGAAACTTCGTGGCCCATGTGCAGAAGTCAGTTTTCTGCCTGGGCGAGTCTATTTTGAAGAAGTGGTTCTAATGCCAAGACACACTAAAGGGGCCAAAGAGCTGCATGTGGCTCGCAAGCCGCAGTGTGCTGACCACTGATCTATATAATGATGCTGGTGATGATAATCTTGCCTAGCGCAGCAAAGCAACCCCATGTCCTTTAATAGTCAGAGGAAGGAGACAATGGCCTCCTGCATCTGCTTTCCTTGCGAAAATTGACAGGGTAGGATTGACTCAGACTGGCTCACCAGGGCCAAAGATGCACATCTTCCAAATCCCATGTTCAGTGAGATAATATTGGTAACTGAAAATTGACCATTGGGGGAGCATTTATATTATAGAAATTGGCAAATGCTGCAAATCAGGAAAGCCTTTTTTTTTTTCTTCTTCAGAGGATCAGTTATTAAATATAAAAATCAGTGAAATACTTGTTTTATATCTAATTTGATTTTCCCTTAGATATCTCATTCTCAAAGGCTTTTTAAGCATCATATTAATGTTTGCCAATCATTTTGTGTCAAATGCTAGGCTGAGATCTTCCACATGTATTCTTTTATTTAATTCTCATAGCAACCTCACGAGGGGTCTGTGATCTCAGCTTATGTTTGATGGATGCTGAAGAGCAGACCAGAGATGGACATATTCTATTTTACAGGTACAGTTTGCAAGTGAGTTAACTGAGTCTCAGCAAGATGATACATTTTTTTCTGAGGTCACATGGCATGTAAGTGATAGAGTAGGGACTGGAGCTTGTGGCTTATTTCTATTTGTAACCACCATGCACTATATTTTTCTCACCATAGAAAACTTTTCTGAGCTCAGAATCATGACATCTTGGTTCTCTCTGTACACAGCCTGATACCAGACCTCTCAGAACCATGGTATTATCTTCATTTATATCATGATGCTGGTGATGATAATCTTGCCTAGCTCACTGGATAGCTTCACTTCTTAAATGATAGTTCATACAAGATTGCTTTGGAAATCTCAAATGGGAAATAATATTACATGCTAAGAAGTGAAGGGAAAAATATTTATAAAAAGAACACCATGTGTCCCAGTTTAGAAGATTCAGCTGAAGTGAGCATTTTATATAAATGCAAGTTCTAAGGAATTGTAAGTAAATGTTTTTGGGTAAACTGGTAGAACCTTTGATCTGGTATTATCTAAACGTATCTCTTGGAATCCTTTGGGTTAGGTCTTTCTAATCTTCCCAGACAGGCTGGCAGGTAATCTGGTTTCATGGGCAGATTTTGAAGTGGATTTCTTCTAGGAATAAAATTATATATTAAATGTCAACAAGCTGGCATTTACTTAGTAAGTTTAGGGAGAGTTTCTGCCGTATTTTGTCCATATTTTAATAAAGAGGTTCATAACCACTTCTACTTGAAACAGCTAGCATATTTTATTGTAGTTATTTATTAAGCTTTATATTCTACCTATACTGAACTCTCCATGATGTCAGACAAACATTCAATCACTATGCAAATCCGTGGCTCCAAGTTACTGAGGTTGGCAGCTGGTATTGCTTCATGACTCTCTACTGAACAAGTGGAGGGGTACTTTTGTGGTATTCATTTATTTATTGTGCCACAGTTGTCCATCTGCAAAGTTTCTGAGATGTTTTAATTGCAGTTGGATCCTGTGTTCAGGGCAAGGCCAACAACTATGGGATGTTTCCTGCTACAGTTACTATGTGTGCTGTCAGGATGCCAGAGATATTTGACAGAAATAGAAAAACCTCCATCTATTACATAAATTATATGGTCCAACCCCCTTAATATGTTACACAAGACCTACCTTGGGTAGGTTGGGCCGTATAATATATGTAATACATGGAGGTTTTGCCCAAGTACCTTTATTCATACTGTCCCTGCTGTGTGGAATATCTTCTGTAATCCTTTTGCCTGGCTAATTCTGATGCACTCCTCAAGAGTATGTTTGGATTTCATCCCCACGGGAAACCCTCACTAATCTTTGGGTTGAGATTTGGCTCTGTTTTCACTCACCTATGTGTCCCTTGATTGAAGTTCTGATGTTATATTGAAGTGCTCTTCTACATTTCTCACTTCCCCTTGAGACTTCTAATGGGTAAAGACCACATTTTCTTTCAACACTGAGAAAAGTGTCTATGTCTGGCAATTCAATAAATGTGTGATGAACTGAAATTACTAATTTCAGGAGGAGTGTGACAGTGAGATGAAATGTGGACCCTGTGTGATTTAGTAGAGGGAACAAGCATGATTCTCTTTCTACCAGTGAGGGGTGGAGCTCGGACCTTTCAGGTTATAGTTTCAATATTGGGGCTAAATCTGTTTGACTGAGGGAGAAGAGAATCAAGATTCTCCATTCATATCCTCCAGAGTAGAGGAATGGAGTTATGTATTAGAAGAGATTGCTGGATTCATTACCAAAGATGGAAACATTTAAGGCATCTGAACTGCCTTCATGTATCTGAACTTCCTACTCTTTTCTGCTGCCAGGTTATCTACAGGTGGTCCTTCCTTTGTTTATGCAGTTGAACTTAATAGCCTTGTGCCTACATTGAGCAAGGTGGTAAGGTAGTCTGTGGTGAGGATCTTCATATATCTCTGTAGTATGGTGGGCACCATTGGCTCTAGAATAGTTATTCTTATTATTGACTTAAGTTTTCAGGCAATTCCATTTTTCCTCCTCTTGGGAGCAACTGTTTTTTGTGGGTGGGTATCCTTGCCATTAGACACTATAGGGAATATCAGGCTGGGAATGGTGTCTGGGATATTACAGTCTTCTCTGATGGGACTCCCTTATCCACCAACTCCTTATTTTCTCCAGGAAAATCATCATTTCAATATTTACTAGAAAAAAAATTACTTTTTGAGGGGTTAGAAAATTACTGACTTTTGTAAAACAAAACTGTGACTGTCCTCATGGCTTTGAGAAAAAGGAAGGGGACAAGGATCAGGGAGAGAAGGCATTAACTCAAAGTAGCATAAGAAACATCTGTGACAAAGTTCTAGAGATGGTTGTCTCTTGCATTAGACATCCCATTTAAAAATTCTGATTTGGTTGTTTTAAAATATCAAAATGAGTGTAATGTGATGGAATCTCAACTCAGATTCTTTTTAGGCACAGAAGTTACCAGAATGGCTTGATATGAGATGTTGCTTGGGCATCTCAGGTGGGGAATTTATATCACTTAATTTTTCCCCCATTAAAAACCTACATTCTTGGGTAGTGAGCACATGGTACAATATTCAGATCTTGTAACATAGAAACTTACATACGAAGCCTATATGTTCATGTTGACCAATGTCACCCCAATATATTTAATTTAAAAAACCATACATTCTTGCTATTCACATGGGTTTTCTTCTCCCTTTCTCCATCCCCTTTTGTATCTGGTATTTCTCCCCTTGATTCTTCCTTTTTTCCCAGGTGTGTTTGATAACTGCACCCACACTATCAATGACAAGGGCTGGGCCCTGGGGATCCACTCAGGGAAGGACACAGGAAGGCGAGACGCTCGCTTCTTCTTCTCTCTTCGCACTGATCGCATGAAGAAGGCCACCATTGTGATTGGCCACAGTCGCTACCAATCAGGCATGTGGACACATGTGGCAGCTACTTATGATGGACTGCGTATGGCCCTGTATGTGGATGGTACTCAGGTGGCTAGTAGTCTAGACCAGTCTGGTCCCCTGAACAGCCCCTTCATGGCATCATGCCGTACTTTGCTCCTGGGAGGGGATAGCTCCGAGAATGGGCATTCTTTCCGTGGATACGTGGGCACACTGGTTCTCTGGTCAACGGCCCTTTCACAGAGCCACCTCCAGCACAGTCCTCAGCATCCTAGTGAGGTAGATGAATTGACTACTGTGATACTAACAGCCAGCTTTGAGCCCTTGGAACACCAATGGGCCCCCTTTAGAGATGACAAGTACCCACGGCTTGAGGTTCTCCAGGGCTATGAGCCAGAGCCGGAGATTGTGTCACCTTTGCAGCCCCCACTTTGTGGGAAGACAGCATGTGACAATGTAGAATTGATCTCCCACTACAATGGGCACTGGCCTCTTCGGGGAGAGAAGGTGATCCGCTACCAGGTGGTGAACATCTGCAACGATGATGGACTGAACCCCACCGTGACTGATGAGCAGATCAGCCGGCAGCACAAGGTGCTCAATGAAGCCTTTGGTCACTATAACATCACCTGGCAGCTGAGCGTCTACCAGGTCCACAACTCCACCCTGCGCCACCGTGCTGTGCTCATCAACTGTGAGCCCAGCAAGATCGGCAATGACCACTGTGACCCAGAGTGTGAGCACCCACTCACGGGTTATGATGGGGGCGACTGCCGCCTACAGGGCCGGTGCTACTCCTGGAACCGCAGGGATGGGCTCTGCCACATGGAGTGCAACAACATGCTGAATGACTTTGATGACGGGGACTGCTGTGACCCCGAGGTGGCTGACGTACACAAGACCTGCTTTGATCCTGACTCACCTAAGAGGTAAGGGACCAGGGCTTGGAGAGTCCTGTTTGCAATGTACATTTCTAGTATCATTTTATCCTTTTGACTTCTGGAGACAAAAGAGGGTTCACACAGCCTCCAAAATAAAGCATGCATACACTCACCAGACACTATTGTGCTTTCATAAAGTACTAGGTGTTGTGTTAAGTAATTAGGGGCATAGAGATGACTAGGACCAGGGTCAGCCCTGAAGAGGACTCACTGTATAGGGGGAAGTCAGCTGTGTATGTGCTGTAAGTGGGCCTGAGGCACCTGAACAACATAGTCTGTGAAGGGGAATAACAGGATCTGATTCACCTTTTACAAAGGATCCTTCTGGATGCTATGGGGAGAACATGGGGAAGCCAGGGGACCATCGCAGAAAGCAGACAAGAGAGACAGAAACCATTCAGCACCTGCTAGACATGATCACTCTTCTGTAATAAGCAAAGTTATACAAACCCTCAAAGAGGCCTCTTATCCTTGGTCTTTGCTGCAGGCTGAGGGTTCACCTGCTTTGTGAACACAAGACATTCTATACCTAACCCCAAGTCTTAGGACTGGAAGCTTCCCATTTTGCCCTGTTAAATTCCATTCTCCACACAGCATCCAGAAGGATCCTATGTAAAAGGTGAATCAGATCCTGTTATTTGTCTTCTTACAATTCCTCCTTCCTCCCCACAACTGTATCTATAATAGAATGAAGATTCTCTACCTTGCTCACAGGTAGCTTCAGGTAACCCCTGCTTATCCTCTAGCTTCCTCCACCAGTACCTCTCCTGCCTCACTGTTTTTGCCTCAGGGCTCTGCCTGAGCTGTCCTTCTTGGAATCGTCTTTTTCTTAATGTCCCATTGGTGGGTTTTCTCTTGTCATTCCGACATCAACTTAAATGTCACCTCCTGGAGCAGCCTTTCCTGATCCCCCAATTTAAATCAGCTGATCAATCACTATTACATCAACTAATTTTAATTCTCCTTATTACACATATCACTTATGATGTTTTCTGTGCGTTCATTTATTTATGTTTCTTCAACTCCATGAAATTAGGGCCTTTATTAACCAGGGTGTACCAAGTGCCGAGAACAGCAGCTGACACTTGGTTGTTTATGTCATGTTTATTGTAATGAATGAATGGATCTGATGTATCTTTCCTTGTGAAATAAAAGCAAATAAGAGGATTTAATGGTCCATGCAAGGGCTGGGGAGAGTTAGAGGAAAACAATAAAGGAGAGAGTTGGGTGGTAAACTTGGTAATCTGTGTGTGTGGGCAAGGCTTCCCCATTGTAACTGGTACCTTTGTAAAAATTATAAAAAGGCTCACATGTGATCTGTAAAGTTGGTGGGAGTGGGAAGACTGAAAGTCAGCTTCTACCGATACCTGGATGGTTGCCTTTGGGTTTGTTGGACACAATTCATGGTGTCCCTGTGTGTGGGCAGACAGTTAACACAAGTTCATAGGTTGGCCTTTTGTTCAGGAATGTGATGTCAGGAATTGATTATAAGATTTGGAATCAGGGTAGACAGTGGAATTCAAGAGTCTTTATGACTTAACTAGTGGCCTGGTGCACGAATTTGTACACATTGAAAGGGATTAATTAGAATAAATATTTTTATTAGAATTAATTAGAATAAATATTTTAATATCACTATTTGCTAAGTCCTGGGTGCTGGTATCCAGCTCCTTCTCCCTCCTATTAGAGTCTGGCATGGCACCCATGGGGATTCAGTGTCAAGTCATGCCAGCACTGTGAGACCCAGAGTCAAGTTCCCGCCCACCTGCATGCACCTTGCTATGCATGCAGCCCCACCCACCCATGCGCGCCTTGAAATAGCACAAGACCCAGACCTGCTGGCACCCACAGGGACACAGTGTCAAGCCACCACTGGCACCAACCTGGACTCCCCCGAATCCCAGAATCCCACCCTGAGGGACTCTCCCAATGCACCTTCTGGTCAAGTCCCTGCCAGCAGCCATGTGTTCCCACCCACACACGTGTGTCTCACTGCACACACAGCCCCGCCCACCCACATGCGCCTGCTGCGCATGCAGCCTCTTGATGATCATTCATTACGGCATGAGGGCATCTCTATTACAGACTTTTAATAATGTAGGATTAGCTGTGTAAATTGTACAAGTTTATAAAAGAGGTGATTGCAGTAGTACTTTGAATTATCTAGTATATGTGCTGCTGAAGTGAGCACAGTACTTTGCATTATCTATATCCTAGGGTTGTTTTGTGAATCAGATGACATACAGTACAAGAAATACTTGGTAATTCTAAAGTTGTCTGTACAAAAATAGTTCTAAGTAAACATTAGTGATTATTATCATTATTCAAGCTGGCAGATGGGAAGCCTATGTTTATATAAAAATATGCAGGGCACTGATCACATTACCAGAACTATTCACATAAGAAAAATTCTGTTTGGGTTTGGTTTTTAGATATTGATAATCGTAAGCAGAAGCTAAACCTCATTAATATCAGTGGTTGCCAACTCAAAAGAGCTGAGAAAGTCTGGCTTGTTCTCATTTGTCTTCTAGTTCATTACAACAGCCACAGTTCTCATGGTACCTAGCTATCATTTTTCTGAATGTGGACTTTTGTTCTCTAAATCTTTAATGCCACTGCATGTTGTATTATAACAGTTATTTAAAGATATAGATTTTTTTTTAACAATATGCAGATCTCTCTTCTAGTTCATTCTATTTTCTGTTCTCTTTCAAACTTGACCAATTATCTTCAGGTCTGCTGCATAGTTGTCATTCGAAATTTCTCTCTAATGCTTGCTTTTTAATTTTTATTTTTTTTGGATTGGAGCTATTATGTCCTGAATTGCATGAATATCTCTTAATTTACTGCCTTGTTTTACTGGAAAATATCCTTAAGTAACTTTCTAAGAATGGAGGTTTCAGGGAACTTTTTTGAAAATACATTTTGCAAAACATTTTGTATTTGGACTTTGCACAATACTGATAGTTTGTCTTTGTAAAATTTTGGGTTGTAAAACATCTCTCAAACTTTTGAATAAATTTATTAATTGTTTCTAACTTCTATTCTGATAACTTTTTTTCAAAGAGGAATATTTTTTTTCTGTTTAAAACTTTAGAATTTTATCCTTAGCATTGGTATTTTAGGGAATCTGACGATTTTTTTTTTAAAGGGTTGGACTTTTATTCTAATTTTGTTGAGCATTAGGTTTCAACACTCATGTCCCTCACCTTTAACAATTTCTAGTAGTGATAGATTTTGATTCTTCAAAGGTCAGTGTTTTCTGTTTTCTTTTTCCACTCTGAATCTCCTGAGGATTGATCTCCTGAGTTTATTCCTTTCCCCCCCTCTCATATGGCCTATCTCTTTGTTATTTTGTTCTTTTTCTTCTTTTTCTTTTGGAGAGTTCCTTGAGTTTATCCTCCATCTCTTCTATTGAATTGTTTCTCCCCCGCCCCCCCAGCAATTATATTCTTAAGATCTTCCTATTCTTGGAACTTTCTGTATTAACCTATTTTTAATGTAAGGAACCTTTTAAAATGCTAGAAATGAGATCCAGTCTAATTTTTTTTAAAGGTGTTCTACATCTGATTGATCTATAGTCAATTTTTCTACACCCCAACCCCCAAAACCCCGTTAATTCCTGCCTGTCTTTGAAGTTGGAGGATTTCATCAAGTGCCCCTTGCTTATTCAGAGTAAGAAACAGATCTTTACATTTATACTTAAGAGGAACTAAGAAGAGAAATTATCTATGTATTTTCTCTTTTAAGAGAAATCTGAAGACAGAGCAGTTTTCTCTTTACTAACTCCCTTATATTTATTTCAGTAAGGACTTTTTTTTTTTTTTTCCCTAATAAGGACTTTTCCCTCTCCCATCCTCTGCCTTGTAGTCCTGGTGTTGAATTTTATTATTAAAAACATTGAGTGTTTTTCATAACTCTTATTGGCAAGAACCATATTTTGAAAAACAATTATTCCTATGTTGTGCCAGATACAGTAAGCTAAGCAGACAGACAAATTAAAAAAATATATAAAGAGTACATGCTAACAACTTAGTGGAGGGGTTTAGTAATTATATCTAAATTCTCCTGGTTGAAATCTAGGCTTAGGCACCAAAAGCAGAATATGGAGTATAGACTGCCTTTCTGTGCTTGCATCATTTGAAAGGGCTTTGGATTCATAGAGATACAGATTTCTGAAATTCTATCAGTGTCTTCTGTTCCTGCAACTTGGTGAAGTTATGGGTTGTCTATGAATGAAATTACCTATAGGCAGTGTTCCTATTAGTATATTTAAATCTCAGAACTCAAGCTCACAACTTTATTATGCTGTGACTCTGAAGGGAATCCAATTTATCAAATGCTTTGCCAGATATTTATTGAGCAAACAGAGTGTGCAAGGCACAGAGTCCTTTTATTCAGGAGCTCACAGTTTAGTGTATATGTGTGGAGGTTGGGGGGTAGGTAGTTTTGATGTAGGCGACACATCTATTGGTAGATCATTAACATGCAGGTACAACTATTGGTGTATGAACAATCCACTTCATTTCTCAAATCCTACTCAACATGCCCCTTTTCCATGTTCAGCAAGAAACCAGAAATCTAGCCCAAAGATGTTCTTCTCCCAAAGGCTCAGAGGAAGAGAGGGCCTGAGGAATCCAACATCAAACATCTGTAACCCAGATGGGCATGTCAAAGGGAGAGTATTTATCAGACTTGGGACTGGTCAGGAAGAGATATAAATTATAGATGTTACCCAGTCAGTTGAACAGCGTTAATACCTTGTTTCCAAAAAAATAATACAGTGTCTTATATTAATTTTTACTCCCAAAGATGCGCTAGGTTTTATTTTCAGGGGATGTCTTATTTTTCCATGAAGAAGAATATGGTACACATTTATTGTTAAATGAAAATAAAGGAAATTTATTACCTGGATATGGTACAGTAGTACGGTAGTTGTCAACACAAACCAGACAAACTGTGAATCCTACAGTATCAAGAATTTACTC